GACAGAACGTTGATTCAGCTTTTGAATTACAGCTCCATCATTCCCGTAATGACGGCATCATAAGACAGTTGCAGAATAAAACACGAGCTGGATGACGAGTTGTCACATTAAAACTACTTCTCCTGCAACAAAGCGGGAGGTGTTTCTGTTAACGAGGCTTTTCTTTTACGTGCTGCCGCATCTGTCAAATACGAGGCCAAGGTCAGGAAAACGGCGCGCCCGCTGTTAGCAGCAGAATTAGCTGCATTAAAATGTGTTACAAGCGACTGATTAGGGGGGAAGGAAGCAGGGAGGAGGGGGAGCGGTAAAGCTTCAGCCCTCGACGTGGTTCTGATGCGGACGGCGTTGCGAGCAAAAAGAGTTGGAGAGATCTAACAACATGCTGCAACCCACGTTCAAAAACAAGGTTTCGCTTTCATCTTGTGTTTCCGAGAGATGAGGCTTTTCATCTCGCTTCCTAACTATCTCCATCAGTACATGTAGCGGCACACATCGTTTATCCCACTGATGTTTTACCAGCGAGGGACTCGGGTCCAGGGAGAGATCAGTGAGTCTGCCGGGAATTAAAAATTAACCAACCAAGAAAATAGCAAAGTGTTACCTCCAAGACAAAAGAATAAAAATAAGATCTTCAATCACGACGGGAGCGAGATGGGGGGAGAGAGAGCGTTCGTGTCTGAAAGTTTCTCCACACTGTGTGTTTAATGCACTCCAAATCAAAGGAGTCCACAATTAAATTATGTAAAGACCTCAAGGAGGAAAGCGAAGCTCTGATGGAACTTAATTGCAGTAACAAACACGGCTATGAAGGTGGTTCAGCTGCTTTAAAATGGGTTCAAGTGCTCCACACTGAACGGGAGACATCAGGACGGTTTGTATAACGACAGTCCAACTTCTTCTCTTTTTCTTTAAAGCTTCGGGTCGATTTGTCGGACAGCTGCAGAAAATGTTTTATTCCCAACAGAGAACGTAAAATTGACATTACCTTATACGCTCAATTGGCGAAAGGAAATGGGGGGAGAAGAGAACACACGACTGTGGCAGGAAGTTAAAATGAGGCACATTGTGGTGAAATGCTGTCTCCTTGCTTTGTGTGTTTGTCCTCTCCTCTATTTCTCTGGGTGCCGAGCCCATTACATCACTTCTATCATCCGCCGTCCTTTGCAGTGTTTTTTTTTTTTCTCGTGGTTGTTCTGCTCCCTCTGTCGCAGCAGGCAGCGGCCACGATGTAGCGCCACATCATAACTCTCTGCTGGAAGGTTTCCAGAAAGTCCTGACAAAAAAGGTCAGAGGACTACGGCGAGTGCGCATGTGTGTGCCTGGACGTCGCACAACGGATACGTGTGTGTGTGTGTGTGTGTGTGTGTGTGTGTGCAGCCTGACAGACGACCAGAGGAGCCGATAGTCGTCAATGATATCGACTGATTAAACTCTTGGTGGTCATGTGATGCTGGCTGACAGTGACGGAGGCGGTGATGACTCCTGACAGTCGTGGGGATGATGATAAAGACGACAGTAACGATGAGAACCATGACAGCGGTGATAACGCTGACTATGATAATGAAATAAGTCATACCGACGGCGACAGTGGTGACGGAAACACACACGACGACGATGTTAATATAAACCATGGTAGCGATTATAGCGCTAATGACGCTGATAATGGTGACAGTCATGGCAATGGAGGTAATTTTATGACACTGTGGCATCTGCCGCGATGGTTTGCATGACGGCAATTGCAAATCATGACACTGATGATGAGGCTAATGGTGTTGATAATAAAGCTCATGACAATCACAATTATATGGATGATCTCTGTGACAGAAACAGCGACGGCCACGATGCTGATGGACCAAATAATGGCAACAAAAACCAACACACCGCAGTGTTGATTGTGTTGAAATTGACTCCCGATTCGGATGTTATCAGCCCATTAGGAAGCCATTGTCACTGCATATTATTCCCAAACATGTGGGCCAGTAGGGAGCTCCTCCACCTTCTAGTAGGCTCAGTAGGATGGGATCACTCCATGTTTCTGCCCCTCGCTTCATCGAGGTGGGGCTCAGAAGTCCACGTCTGGACAGCTTGATGGAGGCGTAGGTGAGCAACTATCATCCAGGTGATTTTTGCTTTTGGTTGGCGTCATTCATTTGGTGTTTACTGGGCTAGGTTTAGATCCTGGATCCTGGTTTGAGCTGAACTATGGTCTGGGTTCTGAAGTCCTACAGCATCACATTAAACCAGATCCACTCGGTGCTATTCTTGGAGTGGCCCCGACCTTAACCTGCCAAACTTTAAGTTAGAAGTCTTGAAATGTTCATTTTTATTGGCCAGACGAGTGATTGTGCTCAAGTGGAGGGACTGCTCATCCCCTTCACATGTCCAGTGGTTACAAGATGTAAGGTCCTGCATGGATTCAGAAAGAATCCGGTTTCCAACTGGAGGTTCAGAAAACAGTTTCTATAGATTGTGGCGTCTTTTTCTGGATTTCTTTGAAAGACCCTCGACTGCTGCCACTGAGTGGCTGAGTAGACTCTCTGTTCCCTTTGTTTGCTCTACATGTACAGTGATTGTTATTATTATTATAAAAATCATCATTATTGTTGCTTTTGTTTGTTCTGCTTTGTTTTATTTCTTATTTGTGTTGGCAGCAGGCTGCCTGTTTAACATTCATGAAGGAACAAAAGACCTTGAATTTCTTGCGTATTCTGTTCTGACCATGACGGTGATACTTTGGTGAATAAAGACCTCTGACAGAAGGAAGCACCGGCGTCACCTGCACCACAGGTACGACTCCGCCTATAAGTCTACCTTCACTTATTCGCCCAATGAGCACGAGTTCAGCGTGTTGGTGGTTACTTTCTGTTTATCAGTGATCAGAATAGAAGATAAACTGAACCTGCTAGAAGGTGGAGAAGGTCCTTACTGGTCCGTATGAATGAAGTGTGATGTCATCTGATGGGCTGGTGACGTCCAAACTGGGTAAAGTGACGCCCATCACAGTGACGACAGCATGGGAGATGTTGATGATAACCGAGCGCTGCGGTCATGACGGTGGTCAAACTAAAGAGCAACTGTGGTCGTGATGAGGAACACCTGAGTGTCCACGTCTATGTGGTGTCAGATTGAGGCAGATCAGAACCTACCCCAGTGGTTTTAATGTTGTGGCTCTCTGGTTATAAATGATGTATTCCTCTTTGAAGCAAACACAGCACGCCTGATTTCTGCTGCATTTTTTTGTCGAAGCTGTGAGATATGACACTGTTGTGTATACGTATTACACGGAGACGTTAATTAATTTCTGCTGTGGCGAGATACATCCAGCGCCGCTGTTATAAGCGCTTCTTTTTTGTTCTGCGCTGAAGGTCAGCGGTAATGAGGTGAGGTTAGGATAAAATTGCCTTGGCAATGTTTGAGCATTTGATGGATTTACCTGAATTTACCTGGATTTACTGACTAAACAAGTCCCAGTGTGCGCTGAACACGCTGTACCTTGAGGTTTGGAGTTTATGCGTCCCAGCTCGCTCTCGCTGTGGTTTCCTGGCATCCCTCATCGGCTGCCGCTGCAAGACTGGAAGCCAAAAAAGCCTCCAAACCCCAGTCTCCCCCTTCATTCCCCGAACTTATCAATTAATCCCCATTCGGCTGATTGGAAATTTCATCACTTTGCAACATCTTGAATAAAGTGAGTCGATGATGCATCTGAGGTGATTACAGGAAGGATTTACATGGCTGCTGGAATATCACTGTGTTGTTTGAAGTGACCTTAAATGATCTCGGTTTGGAAACGGGCACATCGGTCTGTCCTGCAGGACTTGTTTATGTCTCTCCTGACGCTGAGCAGTGAGATGAAAGCTTGCTTTAGGAAGAGAAAAAAAAAGAGCTGCAATCTGGTGGTGATCCGACGGCTGAATGTTGGGTGGGATGAGCGAGGGTTTGTCAGAGGAGAGGTACCAGCCAGCATGGAGCAGATCACTGCTTCCTCAAGGATGAGGCCATGATCAAAGAGATTCAGGTGCTTTAGATTTCTCTGAGCAAACCCTGAGAGATGCCCCCGGGCTGCTGCAACAACTTCGCTATCCTCTCCCTCTGCCGCTGTAGACGACTTATCAAACCAACAACAGTCACAAGGAGCAGACTTTCTTTTCTTTTTTTAAATCCTGGCTTCAGGTTTTTGCTGCAGGGAACGCAGCCATGGGGATTCTCAGCCAAAGCAACAGGAAACA